ATAGCTTCTTACTTTCATGAGGGTATTATCTCTCCAAAAAAAAGGAAATATAAGATAAAAAATACCTCCATTTTTGGCTTTTTTGTTATTTCTGCATCACCAATCTCAGTTTCTGATCCAGAACGTTTAAAAGAATGTTCATTTCGTATATCGCCTCCTTCTTTCTCATTATCATAGAATTCCCCCTGGTCTTCCATAGATGAATCCATCATAGTGTCTAAAATATGTTCCAGGTATCATCACTTATAAAATGTTATGATTTTATAATCCAAAGACTATCTTACGGTGTTGTCGGACATCCGGGTTAGCGTTGTCACGCTCAGCTTCTTCAGCATTAAGGCATTTTGTAGTAAAAGATTCATCACCAATCGGCTGCATTTGCACACTTGGAACATGTGGTAAATGTCGTAAATTCTCCATTACTCCTTCTCTTAAATATTTTTTGAATATGTTGGGAAGAAATCATGTACAAAGCTTGTAACAAAATATTTTGTGCGAAAAATGTTCATTAATGTTCTTACTAACTATGAACCTACTGTATCTTCTTCAAAAATTCAGGAGTGTTTTCATTATTCGCATTTGACGGATCAATATGAAGTCGATAATGCGGTCCGAAATATTCAAAATAATCATTGTATGGAAGATCTGTAAAACTATTTCAGTTAGTTCATCATGATCAATTGCATTACACCTGTTTCGCTATTAACATAAAAATATAAGACCTGGATAAGTTTTCTAAGCATCAGCAGTATCCTTTTGATTTGGTATGGATAATCTCAATATATGAGACCCACATTGAAAAACTCCGATAATTAAAGACACACATACCATCAGAAACTTCCATATCAACTGCAATTGAAGTCTCGTAAGTCCAGCACCGAGCCACATTTCTTGGTGTATAACCACCGCCACCCAACATCATTAGCGGAATATGTCGTTCCCGGAAGAATCGAGCACACGCACCATGACCTAAACAGACAGTTGTGTCGAAATGTGTTAGAAATGAAAAATAGAAATATTATGTTTGCTTTAAGAAGACAGATGAAGATAAATGAAAATACGAGGCAGAAAAACATAAAATTAACATGAACAGAAATACATTACCCCGCAAAGTAAGATTAAAGGTGCCTAAACGATCGCCGTTCAAAGAATCTGCTCCATTCTGCAAAACTACAGCACACGGTTGGAACGTTTCCATAACTCTTTCCATGACCTGTAACACAAAAATTATCAGGGTTAACTCACTAAATCTGCGGCGTCTGCATGAGAAAATTCAATTTCATAAGAGTTATGAATATCTATCTTGGTTTTTAGTTTAACAACAATTCTTCTCCCCATCTCCTCTCCTCAGTTCATTGAGTATTGCTATTCTAGAGTTGAATAAAAAATCTTCAGCTATGTCTCAACTAGGTAATTAATTAGTATAGCTATATTTTCTCTTACATGAAATAAAATTTACCGGAACAAAGATACTCTGATATGATTCATCAGTGATGCCATCTCTCAGAGGTACATTAACTGCATAATACTTTCCTCTTCCAGCACCAATATCTTTCAACTCTCCTGTTCCTGGGAAAAAATCACCATATTTATGAAATGAACATGTCATTACCCGATCCGTAGTATAGAAAGCCTCCTCAACACCATCACCATGATGCACATCGATATCAACATAAAGCACTCTAAAATCACCTGAATTTCAAAATCGAATATAAATAAATCATAAAAAACTGGTGTTATTTTTCATTCAATAAAAAATATGTGGTTCGATATATTAAGTCTCTTTTCACATGACAGCAATCTAAAGGTTGTATTCTTGTTGTGGAGTTTTTTTTTTTTGTGCCACAAAGCACATGCGAAACATTCGCAGAGTTTCAGCAGCTTTTCAAATTACTATAATTTGAAAAACTAGAAATGATAAATGTTGACTGTGAGTAGCGTTTTTCCTTACTGCCCTAATAAATATTGACCAGAGAATTATTGAATTTTAGAGAAATAATAAAATTTGAGATGTAATCGTAGTGCAATAAAGCATTGTTTTTCATTGTAAATTATGAATATAACTGATAAGTAGTAATAACTTATAAAACCCAAAAAGACTCGCCTTTTGTGATATTTGAGAAGTTCGAGGATGCCCAAAACAATATCATTTGTATAACAAAAACCACTGGCTTCACTCTTTTTTGCATGATGCAAACCTCCCATCCAGTTTATTGCTATATCAGCTTTCCGCTTGTTCAGCTTTACTGCAGCTGCTACAAAAGATATTTCAGTTGAAAATACCAGGAAAAACTTAAATAGCAAATTCAGACATTCTCATTAAATTAATTCTGATATGTGACGTACCTAAAGATCCACCACATGAGAGCTGACAAAACTCAAATAAGCCATCGAAAACTGGACAATCTTCACCAACATTAACTGGAAGAAGTGGTTTATTTGCAAGAAAAGGAAAACACATTTTTTTTATAAAATAATCTTGACTATAATTAATTTTCCGAGAGTAATTCTTATGATTCCAAAGTCTAGTTGTGAAAAGACTTTCAGAACAACAATAAATCAAGCAGTAAAAATAACCACTTACATTTCAACATTTGTTTGTTAAACTGTTTTAAGTTATCCGGTGTAGCTGTTCGCAAAAACATCATATATTCATTTGTGTGAAATCGTGTCATTTCTTCAAATGTTGCTGGGAACGGACGCTAAAGATTAATAATAGTCTAAGAAAATAATAATCCAAAAGTTTCTGTAAGCAGTAGTGAAAAATTTTCACTTTTTCAATCATTGTTAAATCCTATCCTAATAATATTGCATTCTTAACATTTTTGATGGGAGGTTGAACACATAGATTTTTCTAATGTTATTGATATCATTGTTAGCATTCTTTGAAAAGCAAATTAAACTTACATAAACTTCCAGATTTCTGTAAATACCGTAATTGAGTAAGAGATGGTGAGTCATTCTAATACGATGAGGCTTCATTACATGACCCTGTCCGTAGTAATAATTTCCAACGTTCGCTGCAATAACACAATATAATTCTATACTCTAAATCATCGAATGAAATTTAGAGTATATCCTACACACAACTGCACAGAGTACAACTAATAATTTACTATAAATCGATACCAGTGTTGAGAGATGTGCAAAATAAACAATACCGTTAAATAACTAAAAACTATTTTCGTAATATTGCTTTCATTCAAAAAAATTTCTACACATCTTGTTTACATTTTCAACAGCTAAAAAGAATAAATAAACTAACAGAAACATCGCTAATTTTAAATTAAATCATGAATTCTTCAAATTAATATATGGAAAATTAAAAGTAAAAATTTTATACCATCATAGTAATATGCAACCCGACGTTTGCTATGATCTTGTACTGACATCGGCATACTGTATAATAAATAATGCAATTTTCACTTTCTTACAAAGATTTCAGTATTTTGCAATCTAAAAACGGTTTATAATTAGTGAAGCAAAATGATAATGAATGCGCACCGAAAGTAAACATCAGCGTTAGTATGGTGGAAATAAAAATAATTGCCTAAAAGAAGATGAAGAGTGATATCCAAGTTAAGAAGTAACAAATAATATAGCGTATGAATCACATTTAGAGATCACAGAAACTCGTATTGTAATGTAAAGAGAATTCTGTTATATATCGTGTTGTATCGCACAAAACAAAAAGAAAATAGCATGATCGATGAGTATTATTACTAAAACTATACGAAATTTTTATCTCAAGACATTCGCATATCAACAATATATGGAAGCATGATGTGTAATGTCACGATGCGATCTGGGAAATAATCAGAGAAGCAGTTCAATTCAGGTAGCCCATTAATATCAAATTTTACAAAATCGAAAAAGGTCACCCCCCCCCATAATATCATGTTCACGATATCCGTCCATATATACATATGTACACGTATATACATATGTACACACACACACATACACACAGACACATACATATACAAAGACATACGCGCATATGCACACACATACACACAGACAGACATACATACACACACACACACAATCGATCATACCACTATCCTTCTCTCTCTCTGACACTTCACTTCACTATCATTCTCATTTGAAGTTACCTCATCTCTTTCTCCCTCTCTCCAGTTTCCCTTGTCCTTCATTATTTTTCATATCTCAACTCTCTTTCATATCTCATGTTCGTAACACTCATTCTTGTCAATGATCAGAGATAGTTCTTTATTGGGAGAGATTTACGATAATTCTCTCCTCAAAAACTACTCAGGTGAGTAAGAATTTGTTTCTTTGACATCTGTTCAAACAAACATTCGGAAAACATGAAATGAGATCACAATGAAGTTCAGCAAATCTGTTAATAAATAAATCAACAACTTATAAAATATGGAAGGAGTATCACTGCATAATAAGATAACAGATCAAAATGTGCTTATTTTAATTGTCTGAGTTATTTTAGAGAAGCATAAAATTCTTTTTTTAAGTATGGTAACTCCTTGGTGGATGTACGATGAATGTAAGGAGTATAATATAAGAGCGCAGATAAGTAACAAGCACTTTTACTCGAATATATTATAAATAAAAGTGAATCCTAAACAAGCAGAATTCCTGTATTTGCAACGCTATCTTATAAGATAAACAGACAATTCTCTTCTAGATTCCTTCTTGTCTTGTTATGTGCCCATCCAATTTCTCAAGTTAGATTTCCTGTCTTATTAATGAATTCCTTATTTGCCTTCGATATTAATGTTCAATTGAATGACCAATAGAAATTTTTAGCATAAAGTCGACTTTAACTTCATTGCTTTATTCAATCATTGCAACAAGATGTGATATTCGGTATTGAATATCTGGCGTCAGAAAGAATTCTCTCTTTCGTATACATGGGTAAAGATCTTTAATGTAATATTTTCCAGTGAGGTAATGATAACTTATAAGCAACCGGAATGTGGTCGTCTCAACAATACATCAACAAGGATCATGTAAATGGTTCAGGGTTCAGAGTTGTACTTTGAAGCGATACCTGATCGACCCTCTTGCACAGTGACACTTTCACTAGTACACTTGTCATCAAGTCCTTTCCACGTCCTTTGCGAAAAGTAATCACCTGAAACAAATCAATGCCTCAGTAGTTTATGGAGATAAGAATTCTTCTAAATATTATTGTAGTCAGTTTTTACTTTCAAAAAAAGTCAACTTTTCCAATTTTCTTTCTTGTACATTGTCTTACGGTATACATCCAATTGTTATACTAAGATATCAATTCCGAAAATTTTCAAATATTCTACTAAAAAAGGCTAGATAAATTATATATACATATATTATATACAGAAATTGAATGCTTACCGGCTGTATAAATAGACAAGATACTACATGAATTTATATTATTGTTAACATTATCTTCGACACCCGTCACGCGCATTTTACCTGTGATTAAGCTCAAATCCGATTTGATCTCAGCTTCACTGCCCATTTCATCTAAAAGATATAACAAAAATATATAATCACAATAATAGTATTGCAAGCACAGTTACCATTAAGTCCTGCAATAAAAGCGTGCTGATAATTTGAGCATCAAAATCGAATAAAAAACACAAGATCGATATGACCGTTCTCATTCTTTTATGGTTTTAATTCACCATAATTGTGGTTATTACCATTTACGAAATTTCTGAATTCTGCCGTCCATCCATCGCCCGCTAACCATTTACATTGCGGATTCAACGCAGCTTCTGCTTCGAAAAGGCTTAAAATTGGACGATAAAAGTCGGAAACGTCCAAGATTATGCCATATGGACAAGATAGAACGATAAATGCTTCAATATCATTAGCAAAATTGGATATTTTTGGCTCGTTGATCTGAAATAATAATAATCGTTAAAGGATGTTCGATTCGAGCTAAAGCAAACTTCAATACACTTCAAAAAAAGTATCCTTTTTACTTTTCCTATAGAAACAGTATATTTTGAAATATAAGAATGAGAAAAGAGTAAAGAAATAGAGCATAAAAAGAGCAATATAAAGCGTGATAACTAAGAAGTGATTCCAAATAATTTTTTGAATATCGCATAAACTTTAAAATACCTTGCCAATTGCTATGGTATAACTCTTTTTCCCCGCAACTTTACATAGCTTCCTGGCTCGTTCCAGAGCTTCTCCATATCCAAGCAGATTTATTGTATTAAGTACAATACCAACAGTTTTAGCATCTCGTAATTTTTCGATCAAAAATAGTCGCTTTCTTAAAAGCCGAGTGGCTGGAGTTCTAAATTTTCAATATCATTTTAGTTGGTCATTTCATCATTAACAAAGTTGGACCATGAGTGAGAGAAAAAAGTCAAGATATTTCGATGACAGCTAAGCATTAGTTACCTTATTGGAAATGCCTAATTCAATACAGAATAAATCAACAAGAAATTTTTTGGCTGTCTAAATTTCTAATGTATAACTGAATTGTTCACTAAAGCTTCGATGCCATTCGCTATCACAAGGAAGTATCCAGACTAGATTATTTTGAGTATTATAGAACAATATGAAATGACAAACGATTTACCTTTGAAATGAGTAGTTTAGCGTAATGGGAGAAAATGTAAAAACATTGATGCAGTTTAAATTGGTCATCAGCCAAAGGGGCAAAAGTGGACTGTTTGTTTCACCGATAAACAAGAGTGTCATGTTCTGTTTTTCTTTCGGCGATACACGTCCTAAGCAACAATCCATACCTAAAATAAAGTGAGGAATAAAATAGAAATTCCACAAAAACCAAAAAACTGTAATTTTTTTAAGGCTATTAGAACAATCTATTAAGCAATATGCAATGTGATATCTTCGTGTTTCCATATTTTTCAAAATTGAAATTTAATCTGAAAAAGAGAAAAAAAATATAAGGACCAGAAAGCAAAACATACTGGAAGTAGGCTGACTATCTTTGAGATCATTGGATCGATCGACAAGTTTGCAGTTAAATAACGACTCCATACCGGAGAATTTACTCAAAAAATCGAACAAAGTATCTTAAATGAACTACATAGCATTTTCAGCACAATAACTACTTACATGTAATCTTCTTAACAATGACAATTAACAACGACGAAAGAGAAAGAAGGAAAGAAATGAAAGGTTTTCTAAACTTATTTTTTGAAAAACACTGTCTTTTTCACAACAGGTTTTGTACATTTTTCTTTTTTTCCCACAATGTATAAAATGAGTATTTTCTACTTTTCAGAAAGTTGAACTTTATGATACTCTAAAAAACAATGGTCTGCAAAATTACACTAATTTTTACACATAGAATTAGTGAAATTAACCTGAGATGTTTGCATACATTGCATCGAACAAAAGGCAACAGTTCGGTTCAAATTTATCTTTATATTTATGCACGGCTTCTTCTAATTTTTCCCATTCGATATCCACATTACCGAAAACAAATCGAGTAGGAATGCGATTAACGGTCTCACTCATGCACGAATCTCCGTAATGAATGATGCAGTCAGCATTACACTGCTCCGCTGCTATGAAATCTATACAACAGCTGCAATTTTTACAAGATGTGTGATTAATAACAAAGAAAAAATAAATTCTACAAGAACTGTTGCAATAAGTGACTCTCCTTAATCAAAATGAATTTGAAGAAAAAAAACCTTAAAAGATGGATATACGCTCGATGATTAAAGAGTAGATGACTATTTTTTATTTTTTCCAATCAACAGCAGATATTTTCGGCGTAAGCACTGCTTAGAAACCTTGCCATTAGAAGAAAATGTGCTAACTTTGCATCAAACTATTGTAATAACCTCTGTCTTGACCAGTTCAATCTCAGAGGGTCTAAAAATAATTCTTTAAAAACAAAAAAAAATTGCTCAATCTACTTCTGATTTGTTCATTCATAACTTTTATCGTTTAGACGCTCAAATTTAAAACCTTTACACTTTTTCAATAATGCATACCTTCGATATGTTGTATCGGCTAAAACATATGTTTTTACATCACCGTTACACTCTTTTTCTAAGAGAGTGGCAATATTGGCAGATACAGAAAGGATATAATCAGGAAATTGCAAGGCAATTCGACGGTAACCGTGATTATTAATCCATGATATTGTTGAATCAACGTCAAAAAATTTTCTTAATTTAGTACTGTCCATATCCTGCAAATCCATTCTTATAAGTAACATTTCCTACGATACGCTTGATTTTATATATCAATATCAGGCTTCAGGATCGATTCATGAAATTCATCATCATTAATATTTAAAATTTTCACATATCAGCCTAAATATTGCACATTACTCTGAAGCAACCAACATAGTATTTAGCCTGAAAAGATATCAATACTTTACTGAAAAGCAATCATAACTGAGCTTACTAAGTAAAACACCTAAACTGGTTTTTCCTATGTCTATTGTATAATCCATTTAGGAAATAAATTTTTAATCCAGTTAGCAACAGTTCTTTCTACAAGTTTTCACTAGTCGACATGTCAAGTCTTATAGAACTTATCGAGATGTTTGTTCGGCCAGTTATTATAAATTTCATATGATTTTAATCAATTGGCAGAAAAAGAAATCAAATGAACTACTCATATCACTTCTCAGCATAATTCTACCTGTTACACATTAAAAAACTGTTGTTAAAAACATTAGTAGGAATCTTTTCATTCTTAAATCTGTTCAAAACATACATTTAAAATAGAAGTCACAATAATTAAACTTAATTCGAAACAAAAAAATTGGACATTTCGATCACCTGACCTTAGTTAATTGTTCCAGAATGTGTTCCTCTGTAGTAAGCAAATTCATATTGTTGATAATATTGTTGATAATATTGAAATTTCCCGATTAAAGGATGACACTTTACGCTCTTCCTCAA